TCTTTCCTTTCCTGAAAACTGATGTATCACACTGCCAAGCTGAGGCTTGTCTCCATCAGAACCCTGTTTTGGTGCAGCCGTAGCTACTCACCCCAGATAAGGTCCAAAGTGCTCTGTGCGTTTTTGGGACGGGCGAGACACTAAGCACTGCCCTTTCCCCACTGGTGTTGGTAAATCGCTTCTGTGGAGAGTAGCCCCAAGGTTAGTGTGGATGCCCTGATTGATGTTCACAAAACCAGCTTCTTCCTGGCAGAAAGGAAATAAACGTTTGCCCCTTTTTGTGGATGGAGACATTGAAGCAGCTGCTATGGTTTAGATAATGCTGCAAAGTTGTTTCATGAGGCAGGGAATATCATCCTACAGTTCTGGGCTCCTAGTCAAAACTCTGCCTGCCCCATCTGCGCTGTTTTTTTTCCATGTCTTTTTGCCTGATAAGTTCCAAAAGACAGTTTTCAGAGAATTGGTGATATCTTCCCCAGAGCTGTAATGAAAACAAAGGGTAGGAGCAAGAAGATTCCACCTCCTGGTATGTGGAAGTGGGTGGCTAGATTCGCTGCTGTTCTCTATTGGCACTGGCAAGCGTGGGCCCTTTGCTTTCATCCTTCTCCTTTCTCCTGCCATCTGAAAGGCAGATGTTGCCACAGTTCCCATCATGCCCTGCCTGTTGCCTTTTTTTATTCCCCTTGGAACACTTGAAGACTGCATTCCCACTTGATTTTCTTCGGTTAAATGTGTTCACACATGGAGATTAGGAGCTGCACATGTGGTGCTTGTGTCTGAAGACTGTCAAAGCTTCTCTTAAGAAAATGATGGCAAAGATGCACAGTGCCTTTATCGAGGTAGGTACTTTTCAGGTATTGGTGGGGAAAAGAAAAATAGTGGCAAATAAGTTTTCTCACAGTATACCAGATCAGTGTTTGCAGTGCAGATTAGGGCATTTCTGTAGAAGCTGCCATGGAGCCACTTTGGAGCCTTCTTGGATTTTCTTGATAGTCGTCTGAATAACGAGGTTGTATTGCTGCAAGACACCCTTTGTTTGGTCTTCTAGAAGCAGTAGTGATATCTTCGGACCTAACCCCTGAATAATTGAGAGCTCTTAAAGCTTCTTGTGTTGTAGGTGATGAACAGTTTCATCTCGATTGTATGGAAAACACCACAAGTGGTCTCCAGGAGTTGTTCTTTTTCTTGAGAAAACAAAGATACAAACTAAACCCAGCAAGCTTTTCCTCAATGTTCCTTATAAGTGACAGAGAGTGAGTGAGAAGTGGATATATGCAAATAAATGTTTTAATACACAATAACAAAAGACTTTTTGGATAATCTTCGAGTTATTACACCCTTGTACAAGATGGTTTATGCTCTGTTTGTGAAAATAAATCATTACTGACATCAACTTTTAATGTATTGAGAGAGCGTTTTCTCTCTGAAGAGCTTGGTATGTCACCTGCTGCACTCAAAGAAAACTAACACACTAATTGGATAAAATCCTCTGAATTTTCAGCTCATCCATTGGTCTGGTTTCATCTATACATAAAGGAAATTTGATTTTAGTCACTTTGGACAGCATGAAAAAGTGGAGGAAGAAATGGTTTTGCAAAATAGTGTGGCCTCTGCTTAAAAACTGCAAGGTGCTTCTTTCGGGTGTAGCGCGAGCGTGTGATCTCCGATGTATTTTGGGCCTCAAGGGATGCAGCGTCTGCTGCCCCGAATTGTAAAGCAGAGAGTCCTTCTTGCACTCGGGACCTCGGCGCTTTGAAGCTGGGCAAGGGCTGTGACAACCCCGTCGTGGGCGCCAAGAGCAGAAGCTGGGCTTGGCTGGGGGTTGCCCTCAGCCTCGCCGCTGGGGCAGAACCAGGTGTTGGGCTTCGTTCCATCTCTCACTAATCCATAATGGGCTGCTTCTCCCTGCGCCTGGAGAAGCACCGGACACCAAAAGGCTGATTCAGTATCCGTGCAACTGTGGGGCCCAATATCGCACGGCCTCGGAGCTCTTTTGGGGACTAATCAATAGTTTATCTCTCTCAGAGACTTTGTGGGTCACCCCCATTGCCCCCCTCCCTTGCTCCTTTTCATTTAAAGACCTGGGATTGCCTGGGTTGTGTGTTTTGGGGTCTGTGATATGAAGAGGGTCCAAAACAGCTTTCATAGTCTGCCAGTACATGGAAATTCCTTGTGTCTGGAGGAAGCTGCTTTGCTCTGAAATGAAGATTTTTTTGAAGATAACCGTGTGGGGCAGTAAATCTGTGTAAACACAACCTGGGCACTAGATGCATTTGGGAAGTTTTCTGCTCTGGCCTTTGGGCTTTCGAGTTAAAGCAGCCACTAGGTGGGGAGCCTGCTCCTTCCCCCTCCTCCTGGCACGGGAAAAGCAACTCCGGAAAGCAGCTGATCAGGAGTACTCCGCTTTTTTAGGGCCACGTTTGTGTTCCTGGCATTGTAGCTGTGTACCACTGGTGGGGCCAGAGCTTCCTACCTGCAGGGAAGAGCAGGGCTAAATTGGCCGGAGGGATGACATTGTGGGGACGGTGCCCCGCAGTGGGTTCGCTCGCTCGGCGCGGCCTCGGGGTACACAGGGCTTCCCGTCTGCTAGCGCAGTGCTCTGAGTCACTTCCAGGCACCGTGGGACTGAGCACTTCAGGTTTTACCCCATCACTTCCCTCTGCTCGGCTGAGAGGGCAAACAGAGGCGCTCCGAGCAAGGAGCAAGAGGCCGCGCGGGGAGGATGGCGGCTGCCCCGCTGCGGCGGTGGCTCCAGCAGGCGCCTCGCGGTACGTACGGCCACGGGGAGCCCCGCTGGGCCGGGGTGGCCTCGCCGGGAGCCGCGCGGGGCCCTGGGCCAACCTGGCAGCCACACGTGAGGACACGGCCGGCATTTCAGCGCGCGGGGCTTGCGCTTGAAGAGATGTTGCTGCCCCGCAGAGGGAGGGTTCATCTGTGAACAGGTGACTTAAGCTTAGATCTCTAGTGACAACCTCAGGATTTCTGGAGGAAAGTGATAATTTGGCAACTTGCTTCCATGTGCTTTTTCTCCTGCAAACGTGCTAGATGCTGCCTGCTGCATGCTGGGATTTGAAGATGTGATATGTGCTTATTTACCAAAATCATTATTATTTTTAAGTGTTGGAACTCGGGCTTAAGTGTTAAGGAACTCGGGCTCAGCGAGGGTGGGAGCAGGAACTAGTCCGTTTTCACTTTGCTCTTCGTGCGTGGGGTTGCTGTGCCTCTTGCTGTACCCCTTGCTGCCAGCAAGGAGCTGACCCCTCACCAGGCTGTGAGTTTATACTGGTAATGCAAAGAGAATATACGAGTACAGAACGCTTCTATACGCCCCCATATATATGCGCACAAATACGTTGGAAAACATCTCTCAACCTGCGTTAGGCTGCAGGTGAAACGGGCGCGGGCGACGAATCACGCTGCGCTTGGGGATTGAGTTCTTTTAACGCTTGCCCTCTTCCTCTTCCTAGTCTTCTGTGTGTTGAGTTCAAGTTGGCCTTGCTGTCCTGCAGGAGTTAATGAGAAAACAGAATTTAAAAGTTGAGCAACACTGTGTTCCAAAGAGCAATTCTGCGTGAAGAGCTCAGTGTGTCACTTTGCTGAACAATGCCAAGATTTTTTGCACAGTGTGGGGTTTTCTTCTTGTAATAGGAAGTGCTTTCTGCAGACCGTAATTCACACTGCAAATGCTGTCTCTTTCTTTTTTTTTTCTTTTTTTTTTTCTTTTTTTTTTTCTTCTTTTTTTCTTCTTCTTTAAACCCCCACCCCATCCTCCTTCCCTTCCAGAAATGAGGCTGAACTGCCTATCTAGTTCCTTTGTAATTCTCTTGGAAAATAAGGTCAGGCTTGGAAGAGATGGAAGAAAAAGACCTCTCATTAAGGTGAAAAGAAGCCCATTTTGGGGCTGCAAGAACTAGGTTTGAGGCTGAGACCCAAATTTTCCTGATTTGGGTTGTTACTGCTTGTTTGGGTGTGTGTGGAGGGGGCCACGTGGCCATCTCTGCATCTGCGCTTTGCGCTTCTGTCAAGATTCCTGACAGTCCTACAATACATACAAACCTAGTGTAGAAAGTAAAATAGACAGAAAAGCTGTTTGCAAGCCTTTTGAGAGCACAGGGAAAGAAAGCTGTCGTACCTTGAGAGGTCATTTGGTCCAAGAAGTTAGAAATGCCATTGTTTTCCTATAGCGGAGAACATTATGTGGGGAATTGGGGCCATTTCTGTCTTCGGGAATATATCTGGAGACTTATGTTGTAATCAGACCTTGAACTTTGTATGATGATTTACAAAATGATCACATTGATGTCTCTGGTGCTTGGAGTTGGAGGAATGGAGGTTCTTAAAATAGTGGCAAGTAACATGGCACAGGGCATGCTAGCTGTGGACACCTGCAATATTGCTTGTCTGTTTATTTGGGAGCTTTTTTTGCCTGCTGTGCTTATTGCTTTGTTTAAACCTGTCTTGTATGGCGGGTGACTTTGATTCAAAATCCGTTTTAGGCCTATTTCAAGCACAGCTATTTTCAATCCAGCGGGGTGTCATTGCAGGAGGTTTGTGATCCCGCTAGCAGGAAGGGCAGGAGATGAAATCTTGCAAAACCTGGGTCGTACAGCCTCTGGACTGCACTGCTTTAGGAGGCATGAACCCTTCAGCTTGTTAATAGTTCACAACTGCAGGCCAAGGGCTGAGGACCCCTTGCTTTTTTTCCAGCCTAGTAAAGGATGCATGCGTGCAATCCCCTTTCTCTGTCTTGGCGTGGGCATAAAAAAAACTGTTTTCTTTTTAAAAACATGGGTGTCCTAATACTGGTAGGTTTCTGTGTTTTTGCAAGCAAGTTTATGTGTATCTTCTGACCTTGCATTTTGTTTTTGGCATGTGGCAATATTAAATGCATTGTTAGAAGTCATTTGGGAGTCGTTATTAGCCCACTCAGCCTAGAAGATGAATCTCTGTTCTTGTGCTCTAAAATGTTTCCTTTTACTCCAGGTTTGGGTGCTCTAGCCATGGATCAGAAAGGTTATCGTCGAGGAAGTTACCAAAGCAGCACTAGTGATGAAGATATGGTAGAAATAGCAGGAACATCTCTGGACTTCTCCATGACAGATGATGACCCTCCACTTGACCAAGAGATTGGAGGTAATGCTCGTGTTTTTCAGTTTTCTTCTCTTCATAACAGATTTCAGTAGAATTTTATGTTGCTTTCTTTACAGATCTCTCTGGCTTCTGCATAGGGTGAAAGACTAACACAACTAGCTACAGCATAGCAGTCTTTGGGGCTGAGATACTCTGCCCACCAAAATGTGTGGCTTGGAATAAAAGCGGTGTTGGCATTTCAAGAGGTGACCAACTTAGCTATTGAATCCGATAAGTTATTTAGCTCATCCTTTGGACTTCAGAAAACTTGACTGCTGAGAGAAACAAATAGGCACAATTTCAGATGTTTTCTCCTCCTTCTAGAATGAGCTGACCTCTTATGGGTAAAAAAAGGCACTCTGACAATAAGGTTAAATCATGGGAGCTTTCTGACTTAGCAGGGAAAGAGGAAATGTAAGTGGGGAAATAGTTGCCTGCCTAAGTGTTTGTTTCAGTTCTCTTTATAACTTCTACTGAAATTGAGAATCACTTGTCTCAGTGTTGACAAGCATTTGGGCTCTAGGTGTATAATCTGTCTTCAGCAGATGCAATGTTGGCCGCATCCTTTGGTGGAGCTTAATCGTTGTGGTGGAGACTCCTGTGAGCTTCTGTTTGCAGACAGTGTTCCTGATGCGCTGGCTGCCTGGAGTTTTTGTTGATGGTGCTGTTTGAAGTCACAGTCAAATTCTTTTTTTAGTTTGTTTTCCAACACAGTCAGGATCTCAGAAACTCTCCTTCTGCAGATTAGTTCTGGCAGCTCGAGTTCCCACAATGGTTGAGGTTCGAAGGAACCTCTGGAGATCATCTAATCCAACCCTCTGCTCAAGCAGGATCCTCCAGGGCACATTGTTCAGGATTGCGTCCAGATGGCGCTTGAATATCTCCAACGGTGGAGACTCCACAACCTCTCTGGGCAACCCGTTACAATGGTCCATCACCCTCAGAATGGCGGGCTCCAAGCTCCAGGTGCAGTCAAGTGGCTTGAGGGAGAAGCATCACATGTTTGCTGATAGATTTGCAAATTGAGATTGCATTTTGCATCTTTCATACTTGCCTTAAGAGCCATGGGCTAAGGAGCAGCAGGATTTTCTCCCTGGGCTAGATCACAGGTGGAAATGGTCAGCCTTGCATGCTGCCCAGAGCAAAGAGTGCTTGTATTGGGAAATATGTCCAGCTGGAAGTCATGTTGCAGATGAGCCTTTGTTCCAAACAGAAGTATTTACATGAACGCACCTACATCTCAAAGACTTGGGTTTTGAAAGAGCCTGGTTTAAGTTACAGCCCAAGTGCTTCAGGCTTGTTTTAGTTAAGAGGTTTTAAAGTAGGCAGCAGTTACAAATAGCACAGTATTGAACATGAAGAGTAATTTTGCAAAGCAACTTGGTTTAAGTAGCAGTTTCTATCACTCTTATCTTCTCTGTTTTGGACTTCAGTATTTATTTGAGCAGTAAAAGGAAGCAGATGAGATGTTCTTTGCTTTTCCAGGCTGTAAACCTGTGCTTTAGAAGCAAACATCTTTTTTTTTTTTTTTTTTTTTCCTCCCCTCCCATTATGTTATCTTTACAACAGTGATAGTGTTTCTCATGCCATGCGGCAAGTGAATCGTAGCTGTGATTTGGCTTTGGTGTTGGCACCTCAGCAGCCGTGCTCAGCTAGCAGGTGGCACTTGCATATCAGCACCCACAGGCTTCTTTCCTCCACACATGTGGTCCTCAAGGTGCTTTTGTACAGCAGGAAAATGTTTTATGCTCCTTATTTGCAGGGATCAAGAACAAACTATTTCCATGTTGCCTGTTCTTGAGCATTGCGCAGTTATTTGCAGAGATTTATCTGCAGACGCTCAGGTTTCTAAGTCTGACGTGCTGGCTTAGAGCAGGTCGTTGCTGACAGTTCTGTTTCCTGAATGCCTTGCTTTTTCTGCTCACATTGAGGCTTTTCTCCGCTCATGTAGTCGGTATGAAGTCCTTCAATGAAAACTGAAGAGATGTTGGTTACCCAGCACAAGCTTTGACACCACTTTCCCAGGTTACTGAAGTGTTGAATAGCCCAGCACAAGTAGAAGACATGAAATTCCACAGTGCCTTTGTTTTTTGGGGAGGGAAAAAAAGCAGTGAGAGTTGCCTTTATCGTCCTGTGTTCTCAGTGAGTTTCTAGTCTGTTGGAGGTTTTTTCCCTGTTAGCCCCTGACAGCTCAGGAGATTTTGTTGCAAGGTTCGTTAAGTGCCCAGACGTTGTCAGACAGTTGTTGTATCTGCAGCCCTGCTGTTTTTTTCCAAGAGCTGCAGAATTCTGAGGCCCTTTTACAAAATCTATGTTGAAACTATCCTCTTATCAAGTGCCTTGCCTCCTAGATGAAGTCATGTCAAGTTGTTCACTGTGATGGTGGGTCGTGCTGATTTCTGATTCCTTAATACACCTTTTCCAGACTATTAAAGGCATGAATGACATGAGAACCTTATGGTTTGGTGCATCAGCTGGGCAAGGATGCCAACTTGCTCTCTGTTACTCTAGTGCCTGTTTCTGAGCCCACTGTAGTGGGGAGACAGACGCGCTCTCCTTGGCAGCAGAACAAGGACATGCTTGGGTGTTACAGTAGCCTCTCTATATGTTTCGCTGTATGTACTTTACTCTTCACTTTACCCTCCATCCATGTAAAGCATGGAAATAAGATTGCTCTACACTTTTTTTTTTTTCCTGAGAAAGGCTTTATGTTTGAAGACTAAAAAGTCTTTTCATGTTGGATTTAGGGTTTTTCTTTTTTCCTTTGGGCTCTAAAATCAGAAATTGAGAATTGCAAGAGCAATTGCTCTGTCCCAAGAGCATCAGGGACTCTTAGGGGAAGAGCACAATTTGGGCAAGGCTCTGTGGGAGGAAGAGGAGGATCAGTAGCTTGCAAGAGAGCTGGGAGAGTTTGTGTCTTTGAATCCTGTGTTTGCTTTGATCCTCACCAAAGACCTAGAGCTGTGAATGTCCTCAAACCAGTGCTTCACCTCCCAATATGACTGCACAGAGCATGGTCCTCCTCCAGCAACTGAATAAATAACAGGGCATTTGTGCAATGTTGCTGCTGTGCCTGTTGAGGTCTCTAAAGATAAGAGCTAGTTACTGCCACCGTTTCTAGGAGTCTTCGTGTTGCTGCTTAAGCTGCCAATGCTGTTTTGAAGGTCTGGGTCAGATGGAGCCCAGCCTGGGGAGGAAATCCTCCTCTCCCAAAGCTGTTTAAGCAACACGGCCAGGTTGTGCTGATGTCCCAACATAGGCTCTTTGCTAGTGGCTTAAGCTAATATGGAGGTCCGTAAGAGGCGCCACACATCTCAGTCTGCCAGCAGGTAACTATAACCTTGAATACAGAGGAAGGAAAAACATCTAGTGGTGGTGATATTGTTGGCCCTCTGCAGCTGGATTTGCTAGATGCAGAGTCCCCAGTTGAGAGGTTGTCTTCAGTATCGGTTCAAATGACAGTGGCTTTTTCAACTTGATGTTTTCTCTAAACTGCCCTTCACCTCGACATCCAAAGAGGGGAAGAAAAAGGCCTCTAACCAGCATGTTATCCCACGAGACCAAAGGTAGCATTTGGGTGTCGTGTTTCAGAGGCAGAAGGCAAGGCTTAAATGACAAGCTATTGCTAGCAAATTGGAGCCAGAAAAGGCTTCCTTGCCAGCCTGTTTCAGCAACTCTGTGCCTCGAGTGGCAGGATAAAGAGCGCTAGTGAGGCCCTGCAGCGGGCAGCCCCCAAGGATTGCTTATCAAGAGAGGACAAAAGATAAACTCTGTATCTGTCTCTGCCTGCTTGAAGATAGCAAGCAAGAAGCACTGCCCCCAGCCCCTCTTAGCAAGCAGAGTGACTGCTAAATTGGAATAATGCCATTAATAAGTGCACCTGTTTCTTGCAGAAGTCAGATTTGGACCACAAGCTTTGAAAACATTTGGGTCCAGAAGAGCAAGGGATGTCCTGGCTACCATACCAGGAACATCAGCGCCTCTGATCTGATCCAGAAAGCTCCATGAAGAGCTTTTGTGTTCAGCTGTCAGGGCTTGTGAAACAGCGGGTAAGACTGCACGTTAAGGACAGCAATCGGCAGAGTTTTGTCAGGTCTCTGTGAATGGGACCAGTGGCTGAAGGGGCTCCTGCACATGCAGCTATAACCCGTTTGACTCCGAGCACTCCTGAGAGCCACAAGCTTGAGCAGCAGCTCGTTTCTGTCTTGGAGCCTTCCCCCTGCAGTGCTGAGTCTGTGCAGCGCAGAGGCTGCCTTCAGACCTGGGGAAACGTTTTCTGCCAGACAACGTCCTGAATGCAGAGGAGCTTTTCTTGCAGTGCTGGGAAGAGACCTCTCTTTCTGCATATCAAGAATCACAATCCCTGGATGTAACCAGCTTCCTCTGTCCGTTATGTTTTGCCTGCCTGTGTTAAGGAAGAGAGCTCCTGTGGCGTGAGCCGCTCCCTGTGCTGTTCCAACCCTGCCCCTCGCAGGGAGGTGTAAGGGCTGGCTCATGTGACGGCCACCGGTGACGACACGCTCGGGGCGCCGGGAGCACTCGGCGCGGCTCCGGGCTCCGCGTCAGCCCCGTGCGAAGGATGAGATGCAGCCGGCGCTGCTGCGGCAGAGCTAGCTGCTCCTCTCCCCCCGGGCCGCAGCAGCCATGAGAGGCACTCGCCAAGGCGCTTCCACTGGGAAAGGGACGGCTGAGGGAGGGTAAGGAGGCAGCAGGAGGCCGGTCTGAGAGCGGAGCGTGTCCGTACGTGCGTGGCGCGGAGGTGGGCAGGCAGCAAGAAGCTGCTGTGCGGGGCTCCGAAGCTGCTGGGCTTTTCCCCACCCGTACAAAGGGGGGCTGCAGAGGGTGACCGGCCGGAGCGGGGTGTCGGATTGCTGTGGGATACAGTGGTTGTTTAGAGCCTTTCTTCCTTCTGCCTGCAAAATCCTTCCCGCTCGATTTGCGGCGCAGAGAGGGGACCTCTCTCTGGTGGTGCTGCTGCGTTTGCTGTGCTAGGGGAGCCGACGGGTAAAAAGCCCTGGAGCCTTGCCTTCTGCAGGTGACGGATGCCTGGACCTTTAACAGCCACTGATGTTTGGGGTGGTGGGTTTTTTTTGTTTTTTTTTTGGTGTGTGTTTTGGATTTTTTGGGGGGGTTGAGTTTTTTGTGTTTTTTGTGTTTTTTTTTTGTTTTCTTTTTTGTTGTTATTTGTTTTGTTTGTTTTTGTAATTTCAAGGAAGAAGCTTTTAAAATGGAGCATTAACCCATTTGGAGGGAGGCAAAGTGATCCAAAATGCTAAAAAAATCTCTGAAGTATGTGCTGTGCTCTAACAGGGCTGTGTTTCCTTTGCCATCTCTAGCCACCAAGTACTGACTCTAGATGCATGCGTGAGGAATCAGGAAGGCCTTGGTTGTATCTTGACGCAGCATTACCGAGCTCATTTTCATCCTTTATTCCTATCTGGTTATCCCAGGTTTCTCAGTTTGCAACAAGCCGAGGCAAGAAACAGAATCTTAGTAAATATTTATGTGTCAGCCATTTTATAGTTCGGTATTACCCTGAAAATATGCGGGCACTCTTGCTGTGTTGTGTCTCCTGGACTGTCACCTGCATGACCTTTTCACAGCAAGGTATTGCTGACAACTCCTGGATTCTGGTTTTGTGACGGAAGAAACGGATACTTTAAAGATCGCCTGGGCGGGATGAAATTGGTGCATGTAAAACAGGGTCAGTCTTCAAAACCGCGGTATGAAATACCTGGCAAGCCGCTTCTGAGAGTGAAAATTGAGTCAGATTGTCCCTTCTGCACTGGGACTCTCAGCAGAGATATATCCCACTGCTATTGCTGGAATGATCCAGGCTGATTTCTGGGTGGCTTAAAGCACTGATAACAGATGCGACCTGATGCTGAGATGACCCGCGGGGCCGCTTGTGTTCCCAGCCAGGGCTGTGCTTGGCCATTGGGGTCTCATCCACGTTGCTCACGGTAGCTCTGAGCGGGCAGTGGGTGCCTGAGACAGCTGAAACCTGCTGGTCTGGGCGATTATTTCAGCACAGGAAACAAGGAATGACTCTGAATGCATCTTTTTGCAGTAAATGTTTCTCAAAATAGAAAATTGCTTCTGTTCACTAGGCTTAGCACCACTGCATTGATACTTCCTTCCTGTAACTTTTTAAAGTGGGCCGCATCTCTGGGAAAGGCTGCAGTGGATCTCCCAAAATAAAACAGAACAGAGAGGGCAAATAAGCCATCTGCAGCAAGGAGATGTGAGTGACTGTGGCACTTCCAGGAGGGCTGATCGCTACGATAGTTGAGCTATCGTTAGCTCAACTAACTCGGTCGAGCTGCTTGGGTTTGGAAGGGCTAGTTTGGAGAGCTCATCAGTCATCTCTTTCCCAGGTAAAGTGAGTGGTGTTTTCTGCATCCCACCACCCATACCTACTGAAACCTCAAAGGTGTCACTGCTAAAGTAATCTTGGAACAGCTTCAGGTTCAAATAAAAACAATCATGTTGCACTGGTGGTTCCTTTATTTGCCACCCAGGGCAAAAACAAAAGGGTGGGTGAGTGCTGCCTTCCACAGTCCTTATTTCTGCTATTGCCTCCTGGCAATAGCAGTTCTGAACTGGAGCTGTTGACCAGTTTGAGCTGTTGTTGACTGGCAAGATGCCATATCTTGTAACCAGTAGCAAATGTCTGCCTCCAGAGGAGGTGGTTTCCTGGAGAGGCTGCAGCAAAGCGCTCTGCAGCACGGGCTGATGCGGGTAGGCACATTTGTGAGGGGAGTTGCAGGTTCATCTGGGCCATGTGTGCTGAAGTTAAGGTTATTTTGCAGAACTTGTCAGCTATGTGTGATTCATCAAATCTGTGGAAAGTGAGTTTGGGAAGCCATGAGTCTAGGAAGATGGGGGAAGTTTTGGGAAGATGTCAGAGTTCCGTCTTCCTTTATCTTTCTTTTGAATGATGTTGTAGAGAGCTGACTATTTTTTCCGTCTTTCCTCCCAGCTCACAGAGTTTTGCTGTGGTGGTGTCTAAAATGCCAAACATTCTAAATCCTATTTTATCCTTTTTTATAGGACTTCTAATACTTTCTGTTCTCCTCTACCTTTCACATTGATAGGAGTTTGGTTTTCATCTTCCCTCCCCTTTTCTGGACAGCTGTCAGTGGTTGAGGTTACTTGTGGACCTGTGTGCAGGTTTACTCTGCTATCCACGTCCCAAGCGCCGGCTTCCTGTAGATCCCGCTGCAGCTGGAAGGCGCTGAGCGCATCTCCCTACACACTGCGTGCGGCACGAGGAGGAGAGAGGCAAGTTGTAGGTGCAAGAGAGGCTGACAACTGTATCCTCTCTTCTGTGCATCACTTGCCACCATTCTTCCTACATTTCTTAAATGTATTAAGGGAGACTTCCTTTTGACAAAGGTGATGCATGGCAGACAGTCTGGTAGATGCCAAAGATTCCTGTGCGAGTTGGTAGGTAGATGTTACCTCCTGCAGGTGTCTTCATAGTCATGTGGGCCCAGTGCAGAGTTCACTGCTGTTTGCAGCTTTCTTACAACAACAGAAATGGTATTTTTCACTCGAGCGTGGTTTGGGTCCTAACTGTCAACAACATGAGTGGTGCCTGCTATTCAGGAGAACCAGTGTCCTACAAATGACGGACTTGTCAGCGGCGGTTCTGAGCATCCCAACGGCATGCCTGTAAGTTCTTAGAAATGGGAAAAAGCAACAAGGCAGGTTACACTTCAGCTCTCTGCATTTAAGATTGTTGTAGAGAGTGTGAGGATGAAAGTATGAAAGGTTTCCTGAAGGAATTTCCAAACTAGGGCTGAGCGGGTAAAGCAGTGGCTTTAGCAGTGGCTAAAGCAGTTTGTATCCATGCTTCTCCGCAGCAGATGCTGGACTGCAGGTTACCTGCCCTCTCCACTGAAAGCCAGCAGGAAGTTTCTTGCAGCATCTAGGCAGTTCTGCCTGCACTACCTGCTAGCTTTGAAAGAAAATACATGGAGTAACTGCTGAAGGATTCTGTCGGGACTGACTTGGAAGAGAGGCCTCAGTGCTTGCATAAGTAAAGGAAGGAGCTTTGAATTGAATTACAGAAGAACTTGATCCGTGTCAATTAATTTGTCGAGAAAACTGCGTGATTTCTTTGGATAAAGTTTCAAAGACTCTTGCTTTAGTTTTCCCCAATATCTTTCAACACCTTCTTAGAGCTGCTTAAAAGGACCTTTAAGAAACATGTTTTTATGTTAATGGCTTTTAAAAGGTTTTTTCCAATTAAAGGTGCTGTTGTTGTTCTGCTTTTGAAGCAAATGAAAGCAGGAGCAGCTTCACGAATATTTTCCAGGTGGAAAAAAGGCAGTGCATTTTTTTTCCAGTGCAGTTAAAAACCACTCAGGTCCCGAGCCTCTCCCCTGGAAACTGTAAGGGCAGGCTCCCTCCTGCTGAGGAGATCCGCTCCTGTGGCCAGAGCGTTGCACAGGGCTTCACGATTTGCCTCCTCCCTCTTCTCCTTCATGTTTTTCGTCCGCTCGTTCCCAGTCCTGACTCTTGTAGATTGCGGACTTTGGGTCACATCTCGTAGTTTATCATTACAGCTTTGAGCAGAGCAAAGGTCTGCTGTCAGCCAAGGCCTTGCACTGTGATTCAGGTTAATCTTTCAGCTGACTTCTCTGCATTCTTCCTTACCTGCTATTTAATCAGGGGGCTGTTGCTGGTGTTGCTGAGAGCCTGTCTCCTCCTCGCAAAAAATTTCCTTTGTGGTTGCCAGGAAAGCCTCTTGGCCAGCACCAGCGTCAGCGATGATGAGGCGTTTGCTGTTCACCTTGCTGAAACTGTTTCTACCCTCTGTGCTTGGGAGACCTCCACCCTTGGGACAGTTAAGGCCTAGGGCAAGCAGATAGAGCAAAGGGTGGTCAAAAGGGGTTGGTCGTAGCCTCCACAGTGTTGTAGGTGAACCCTCATGCCCAGGTGTGAGGAGGTAAGGAAGTAGATGCCCAGCACTCTCACCTGGGAACATGCTGAGGCAATCCGACCCACTGGATTTAGCCCCTTTTTTTTATGATGGTGTCTGCTATTGGTTGTTTGATTTCCTGGGGAGAGGATGGTAGAATTTGAGGGAATGATGAGTAGGAAACTTTGTTGTAAAGCATGGCTTGTGCCGTGCGAAGCCTTTGAGTATCATCTTCTGATGGACGTGGCCAAAGCTCGTAGATGATGCTGTAGATCAGTAGTTTTGGTAGCCCCTCACTTTACCTGTCCTGTTCGCCCCTGATCTGCTCCCAGCTGTGGAGGGACTGTCCAGTGAAAAAAACTTTGGGCAGCTCCATCTTGAAAACCTAAAGATTGTCTTCTGTGGTGTGGAACAGATTACAGAAAAGGTCAAGTGATTTGGCAATAGTCTGTTTTTTGTTTGTTTGTTGTTTTCAACTTAATGAAGACTGTCAGCCCTTCAGATAATACAGACAGACACACACCTCCAGGCCTGCTTTGGTGTTTTTTGTCTCTACTTTTAGAATGCTCCTAACTCACAAGTAATGGCAGATGGTCTTTAGATGGCTTTGCTTTCCACTGTCTCACTGCTTCCATCTCTCACCCTCATTTTGGTGCTTTAATCTTTGACCAGATCACCTGGGACTTGCTTCAACTCCTGGGTTTGTGGAAAAGTTAAATCTAAATGTGTAGGGGAGTTTGGTTTCTGAGCAGATGTTTCTAGCAGCCAACCCATCTCTAGATGGCCTGCTAGAGCTGGGGAAAGGGCTTGCTTGCTATATTGAGCTCAAAGAACTGTTCCGTCACTGTTTGCTTTGCCTTAGATCTCTGTTGGTTTTTTGTTTTTCGGGTTTTTTTTGCGTTTGTGTGTTTTCAAAAAAAAAAAAAAAAAAAGGAAAACTAAGCAATGCTTAATTTCCACCCCTCTCTCCCCCAGGGTTTTCCTCATATAATGGAGGAGGGATGAATGGCACAAGCAAAATGATGGATTTCCTGGAGGAGCCTCTTCCTGGTGTGGGGACCTATGAAGATTTTAACACTATTGATTGGGTGCGAGAGAAGTCCAGGGACCGGGACAGGCACAGAGAGGTAATTTTTCTGATTTTTTTCTTTGATGGCACAGAAGGCAGAACAACTTGCCAGTCTTCATCACTTTGGCAGCACCTATAGGAGAAATATCTAGTATGGAGGAATTGCTCCCAGGATAGGAATTGAGAGCTTCTATATAGTTTGTGAAAGAATCATAGAATCATTATAGTTGGACAAAAACTTTGAGATCATTGAGTCGAACTGTAAAGTCCTTCAACACCATCCTGATATACCATGTCCCTAAGTGTCTCATCTAGACATTTTTTGAACACTGCCAGGAATGGTGACTCCACCACTTCCCTGGGCAGCCTCTTCCAATGCTTGACTCCTCTTTCTGTGTAGAAATTCTTCCTAATATCTAACCGGAACCTCCCCTGGTGAAACTTGAGGCCATTTCCCCTTGTTCTGCCTGCCGTTTTTCTGGAGAACAGACCGACCCCTGCCTGGCTACAGCCTCCTCTCAGGTGGCTGTAGAGGGCGGGAAGGCCTCCCCTGAGCCGCTGCCTCCTCTCCAGGCTAAAGAACCCCAGCTCCCTCAGCCGCTCCTCCGGAGCTCTGTG